AGCAAATGATTTATGAATCACACCAGGCTACAGTTACATTCCAGAATAAAACAGGGACAGGGTATCAGTGCCTGAGTAGGTCCTACAGATGCCCATATTAACAGGCCTCTTAGCGTGGTTTTGTCCTGTATGGGTTACTTGTCCTGCAGGCACGGTCTGAGCACAGTTCAGGAGGTGAACGTGCACCGTGGCCATAAGCAGTTTGGACATGGCCATCCTCTTTGGGAGAGTGGTTTAACCTCAGGGACAGGAGGTGTTCTGTACCACTTGGCCTCGGAGCCAGAGAAGAGTTGCTTGCCTGAATTATTTAGCAATACACAGCAAGCCAAATTGACTCAGGGACAAACAAGCCAATAACTGGGTCTGACGGTCAGCCTAAGGAGTTGCTTAATGGGGAGGGAATTCTTGCATCAACTGGAAAGATGCTGCTCATCTGCAAACATTATTTTGTTTTCTGTTTTAAAAGCACTGGTGTTTTAAAAGGATTTGTTTGGAAGCGAATCCCTACAATTTTCTTTGTTGTTTCTGCTGGCCATGTCTGTGACTGTGGGAACTCAGTGACACTTGCAGGTATGCTGCAGCCGATTACCATGCTGGCAGTAGTTTTCATGCAGCATTACAGTACTGCAGTCAGAAATGGTTGATTACACAGGAGAAGGAAGCGCAGAGCTGTTGTTGAGTATTTAGATAATGCTGGATGGAATATAAGTCTGAATGCAGTTGACTTAAAAGCAACCTCTTTCCCCGCCTAAAAACCCAAATCCCACATCTGAAAGTATTACACCTGCCTCCCATGGTAATTTTTTAGTGATTTTTTTTTATAGGCTCTAGAATTCTGAGATACAGCTGGTACTTCGTCCATCGGAGAGAGGTTGCACTTCATCTTTCACTAAGATACTTCAGGCTCATTCTCATACCAAATCCATTTTCATTCCTGCTAGATGAACCTGTAACATAGGTTATGCAATTAGGAGGAAAGTGTTTGCAGAAACGATAAGGAAAACCTGATAAATGAAATCCACTATGCACTGTCAGTCATGCTGATGCTATTCCAATAAACACAAGCATGGTTTTGTGTACTCAGTTTAAAGAGACAGAGTAAAATAATTTATGGCCAAAATTGTCTTTCCTTCCTTGCAGTGTTTATATGTATATAATACTACACACACCAAAAATATATTAAGGGAGCATTACTGACATAAAGTAGAGCTCTAAAAACGCAATGCTATGGTTAGTGTCGTAGCTATAGCATTACAGTTAACAGGCTTTTTGTTCAGTAACTGGGCCCCTCTCTGTGGATGCTCTATATACAGTCTTTATACAATTAGGAGCATTTTTTAGGGTGAATGTTTGGTTTTAGGAAGGGGTTTTGCTTTCAAGGCAAATGCAGTCACATTTATATCACATCTGTTATTATCTAAGTGGAGCCTTGTCTTCCAAAGGAGATTTGTCTTATAGAGTGCACAGATTGGGCAGCCTTCAATTTAGGAGTAGATGCAAAATACTTTTCCAAGTGCTGCCCTATAATTTTTTTTCCATTTTATTTTTTTTTCTGTACTCTCTACAAACCTTGCCTAGAAGACAAAATCAGTCATTTCCTTGTGGGAATAGTTATTCTGCTCTTTCACTGTAGTTTCTGAGTGCCTCAGAAATGTTAACGTATCATTAGCAGTTCCGAGGAGGTGATGTGATATCTCCACTTTATAAAACAGGAGCGAAGGCTGGTAGTTGAAGCACAGGTCTGGGAGCGTTTGCTAATTTGGGGGTCCCGTTCAATGACCCGATTTCTTGGACTAATGCATTTTGTGTGGTCAAGGCACATTCCCTGTTGTTGATTTCAGTGGCATCAGTGACTGCTCAGGAGCCCCCTCCCTGGGAGGGTTCCAAGGCCAGGTTGGACGGGGCTGGGAGCCCCCTGGGCTGGGGGAAGGGGGCCCTGCCCGGGGCAGGGGGGTGGCACTGGGTGATCTTTAAAGTCCCTTCCAACCCAAACCAGTCTGTGATTCTCTGCAATCTGGGTCTCAGGGCTTGAAACTGAAGACCAAAGATATAGGGAATACTTTTTTGGTGACCAACGGAGTTGAGATTTAGTGTAAAGGGCTTCCCTAGCAGCACAGAAGACCTGCTGGAGCAGAGGCTAGCGTACAGTACTTTCTCCAAGGATGATGCTCGTTTCCAGTTGCTGGGAGCCTCTTTCTCCCGATTCTACCGTGTCTGTGTTGAGTATCTGTAACAAATGAGGCAGCGCTCCAGTGAGTGATTATCTCTCTAGCTGCACTTCTGATCCTCAGAGCAGATAAATACTGATAAGTTAGAAAACAGGTAATTTATTTAAAGAGGATACTCAGAGAAAACGGTCCAAACTACTGCAGCTTTGACAGTCTGTCCCAAGTTTTCCTTGTTATTGCATGAAATAGGATAGTCTGTGTATACATTAAAAATGTGCCCATACTTTATCTTACAGTAGTCATCTGATAAGAGTACCTCAGTCAGTCTCTTCCTTCAGCTTAATATCCTGTTACGTACTCTTCTACTTGAAAACAGCTCATCTTTGCTCAAAACTGGTCTGTAGTGTCAGCTCAGTGACATTAGTTTACTACACTGGCTGGTGTTGCTTAGAATGTAAAACTATCCCATTAGCCTGTTTGCAATATAAAATGGGCTTCTGCATTTTACAAGCTTATGCAGTGTAGCAAGATTCTGGCAAGTGTAAAGGAAAAAGGTGTTAAGGAGAGCTGGCAGCTCCTTAAAGAACAGATATTAAGTGCAAACTGTTCCAATAAGGAGGAAAGTTAAGGAAGTGCGGTAGAAGACCAGTGTGGCTAGATTGTCAGCTCTTCATGGGCCGTGAAGAGAAGATTTTATACAAAGTGGGAAGTAGGTCAGATTTCCAAGAAGAAGGATAAATAAATAGTGTGTAGGGGCGATAACATCAGAAGTCTTGAGGCAGAAAATGAAATTAAAGTATCCAGGTGTGTTACAGGTGGTAAGAACTCATTTTTCATGTGCATTAGTAATGAATGAAATACTGAAAGAAAATGGTAGGGTGTGAAAGGGATCGACAGGTGGCACTGGGAAGGCCAAAGTGCATTTGGGTCTTTCCCAGTAAAGTGGATACTGCTGCTACTGAAAACACGGGCATGGTACTGCCACTGCTACCCTGGGAAGGTAGGCAGGGGCCTGGCTGCCAGAAGATTTCCCATATGCAAATTAGTGTCTCTGTACAGCTTGATACCCACAGAAGTGTACACCTTCCACCCCCACCCGCCAATTTAAGGATGGTTTGTCTGAAGGCCATTGCTGTACAATACCTGAAATACTGAATGAGGATGACTTGGGAAGTGTTTGGGAACAGACCACTGTCAGAAGGGAGGCATGAGCTGGGAGGATGCCAGAGGTGGCTTCTCTGCATATGCTGTTCTGTACTTTTGTTAATGGGTTAGGTGGTGTCACTGAGTGCGGTAACAGTTTATAGAAAAGGCACTAAGCTGTGGTAAGGACAAAAGACACTATGAAAGGAAGGGCTACAATTCAAAGTGATCTTGATCAGTTGGAGAAGTAATCATAAAAAGAGTGGTCACAGTTAAACAAGGACATGTTCTGTATATGACTCTTAGGAGTAACCAACTTTAACGATAAAGGCTGTGGAATAAATTTATAGGGAATAATTATTCAGAAAAAATTCCAAGAGATGCAGGGAACCACAAACCAGTACATGAACTGACATTGTCATGCTGTGGTATGTAGTATTCCTGGGATGAATAGGGAGGAATATAGCCTGCAGAATGTATGAAAAAAAATTAAAATCCTTCCTTGCCTGGAGTACTGTGCCAAGTCACAGGCACTGTACCTTGAGAAAGATGTAAATCAACACGACTGTGCAAAGGGACAGCAACAAGACTGAACAAACAGTCCCCGATAACATAACTGATAAGTATGTGTTGAGTGAATTGGTGTTATTTGGGGTAGATGGCAGCAAAATGATTAGTGGTTATTACAGCCTTCTGTATATATGGGCTGCTGCAAAGAGAGAGAGAATAACCTGTTTTCTATGACTGTGATAGCACAAAGACTAAAGACAGTAAGTTCCAGCAGGAGAGATGGTGCTACCATGGTAAGAGTAGTCCAAGCACTGGAGGAGTTTGCATGGGGAGTTTATTGAATCTCCATTGCTGGAGGCCTTCAAGAACAAGTTAGAAAACATCCTCTGGCAATAGTATGAGTTGTAGGTGATTTTGCTGTGGGTCTGGACATCTCATGACCCCTCTTTCAGGGGAAATTGTGTTGTTTTCTGACATGCTTCCTCTTTCATCTTTTTTTATCCTTTTACTCCTTGGTGAATATCACTATTATCTGAATAAGGATTTCTTAGTTGGTGAGGGGGATTATGATTTAACAAATCCATAGCAGTCATCTTGGTACAGAACTTTACGGGGCAGTGCTTTAAACTACTGTTTGACCAGCTGCTTGAAGCCTGTAAGAGCCCCAGGCCACAACTTCTCAGTGAGAGTGTTCCTTATAGACAGAGTAAGGACTGGGACTTGCTTTCTAATCAGCATATTTTCTGAAGACTTTTCAAATGCACGTAACAGTCTGACATACCAGCTGTCACCAGGAATCGTGTCCCCCACCGACACCCGCGTGCGCTGCGTTGGCACTCGTGTCACAGGGAGAGGGAGCGTTGACAGGTCCTCTGCTAGTCACCTTAGAGAGGGAGGAAAGAAGCCAGGGTTCAGCAAAGGAGAACTGGCAGTCGCAGGAGAACACCAGGAACAGCAGAACAACAGTCTGAGCAAGGCGTTACTGGACTGGCCTGGGGCTTTGACAAATTTTCTCCAGCCTCATCTGTGTCCAGATCGGCGTTTGGGACTGATTCAAACCTCTGTTGTTGTGGGGCAGCCGTGCAATGCCGTTCATGGCCAGTCTTTCCAAGTTCCAGAGTCTAGAGTAGCTCTAGTTGCATTTGTGTTGAAACTGAATCATGTTTTCTTTTGACTTAGAAGCCGAACTTGATTTCCAAGCCAATGCTTGACAGCATCCTTTGTCTTCGTGATGACAGATGGAAGTATGTCCGGAGCCTCCTGACCCCAGCCTTCAGCGATACCAAACTGAAAGAGGTAAGGTGTAGGCAGTGCTGCTTTCGTAATTTAGAAGACATCATCATTTTCCTTTGTGCAGGCATCTACTTTATATAGGTCCATATTAAGAATAGGTAAAAGCTGCTACTTTGTGCCAGTTCATTTAGACCTGAAGAGCACGTGCAGTAGAGCATATGTACGGTGTGGTCCAGGTCACAGACTGGTGAAAATCGGAACAGCTCATCTGAGGATATGATCCGCTGTCTTTCTCTGTATAAGCCAGTTTGTCCATTAAAGTGTAGTAAACTCAAAAAGGACCCTTATACCTTCCTCCCACCACCCTGTTAGGCGTAAGCTAAAGTACAGGAAAGGTTATTACTCCCAGTTGGAACATAGCTTTTTGTGATTTGCAGAGTCAGCAGCTCTCATGTTAACTCGGGAACTGCTGTCAGTCTATTTTCATTTCTCCATCTCCTTCCCCCCCCCTTCCTCCTTTTATTCTTTAATCCTTTCATATAATAAAATAAGTCACTGGAACAGAATGTCATTGCCAGATAAATACCTCCAACTGAAAATAAATGTCTCCGTGCTGACCTGCTGCTAATTTCCTATAAATGTCTCAGCATTTATTTAGCCATGGGAACCCATTACCCAGTAACAAAGTCCTATTCCAGTGGCACGATATCTCTTAATTAAATGCAGATAAATGATTGACTGGATAAAGTCTTCTTTTAAGGAAAAAAAAAAAAAAAAAAAAAAACAACAAAAAACCACCTCTTCCTTTATGTATTTTATTCTGAAAGGGACTCATGCCGCACTCCGGTGCCCAGTCCTGGGTTGTAAAATTTTCCACTGGGCAGACGCTTGTGTTGTTTTGACATGCCGCTGTCGAAATCCACAGTAACATCTAAATGTGTCTGGCTCTCCCAGCTCTATAGACAGCGGTCGCTTAGCAACGCCGGCTGTCACCTCCTTATTATGGTAAATTCTAATTGGCTGCCAGCCTGGCAGAGATGCTGATTAATCACGACTGACAATGCCATTGGTTATGCGTCCCGACATTTGCTCTGTCACCAGCTCCATCACAAAATTTTAGCAAGGCGAGGATGCTTAAATATGCAAGCGATTAGTTGCTCATGGTGTGGTGGGGAGAGGAGAGTTTTGCATTTTCCTAGCGGAAATTAATCTGCCTTACTGCAGGTCATCGGCTCTTTGCTGGCGGACTAACAAAAGATAAAGCTGCATTCCCCTCAATTTGCAGAGAGCAACCTCTGCCGGTACCAGCCAGGCAGATTTGACTGAGGAGAGCGGTGAGGGTGAGCAGGCGGAGGCCCTGGGCATCGTGCCTTGGGGCTAGGAACGTACAGGTTTGCAGGGTTTGACCGATTCAGCGGGGGTGGGAGCAGAAGTCACAGCTGCTCGCTTTGCACTGCTTGGTGGTGGAGCTGCAACGCAGGAGCTGGCGGTAGGAGGTGAACTGGAGGGCTGGCTAGCGCCTGGTAGCTACCTCACGTGCTAAAATGGAGGTCTTTATTTTCAGCCTGATAATCAGCTTTCCCCGCGTTGCCTCTTCCAAACTCTGTGGAAGTAGCACGGTGGTGCATGGGCTCCGAGTGGCCGGGAAATGGTCACATCGCCCTTCCAGTCTGCAGAAGGTGGGAAGCTGAGGCGTGGGGGAGGTCTCTCTGTAAGGCCCAACTTTGTTGTTCTGTCCCATGTCTTCACCCTCCACAGCGAGATGCTTGTCCTAAGTTCAGGTGAGGCTGAGAACCTCTTTTGACTGGATGCGCTCCTCAGCCTTGCTTCCCATTTTCTACAGACCCGGGATTTGAAGTTAATACAGCTTAAGTCCTCGCCCATGTGCTTCTCTTGCTGTTGCTTAAGTTAGAAGCCATACCAACACTTTTCAAAGGAAATCAATGCTCATTAGTTATGATCTCACTTTTTAACTCTCCCATATTTAGTATTCTCTCATAACCTCTACAGCAGCATGGAAGCAAAAATACCGCATTCTAGTATTGGCCATACTACAGAGTATCCGAGTTATGTAGAAGACCTCCTGTTTATAATAAACTCTTCTTCTGTACCTCAAAGGAGCTACGAATAAGCTAGTTTGGGTATTAATTTATTGCATAAGAACCTGGACATGTTGTTTTATACATATTTATAAATACTGCTAGACACGTTCCTCCTTTCTTGTCCTAAGACATGGATTCATTTGACACAGAGATCTGAGCTCTGATAAAACCCCACGCGGAAGCCTTCCTCTCTGTTCACTCTGGATGTCTGCCTTGCCTTTGTTCCCCTGTGTAAACTCCCCAGTGGTGCTGGAGAGGCTGCACCACCCCTCCCAAGTGGCGTTGGGGAACGGTTCCCCTTGAGCGCGGCCGCCCGCAGAGCCACTCCGAGCAGAGACCTGTCTGTCTGGATGCTCTGGGAGAACTGGGAGCTACTAGCCTGTGACAAAGCAATAAATGTTAACAACCCCTTGTGCTCCCCGTAGCAATCACCTCAGATAAAAGATGCACAAAGGGCCGGAGAGTGTAGGTTCCCGATAGCTCCATTTCAGAAACAGAAGGATCTACTCCTAGGCTAAAGGACAGCTTCAGCACTGCCAAGAGCAAGAAGCTGGTCATCCACTCTTTGGCCTGGAGCTGGAGGACAGAACCCAAGGCAGAGGTAACGCACGTTGCTAGGGTCTGACCCGCAGTGCCCCCCAGAGGCACCTCGCTGCTGGGGCTGGGGCCAGGGGCGAACTCGGCCCTTGTCTGTCCGCAGCCGTGGTGTAGTGTCACTGAGAAGTTCACTAAGCTTGCTGAATTTTCCCTTAGGTTGGCAGAAATCTCTAACAGCCAGTCACCAAATGAGGAAAAGGTAATCCCAGAAATTTTGAAGTTTGTAAAGTTACAAGCAATTAACTGAAAGTAGAGGTTATAGAGCTGTTGGGAAGCCAGTGTAGTGGCTGCCACGTGTACGCAGAAGGTTGTTTTCCTAACATTTTTCAAGACTTTCTGGCATCTTCTCCACCTTTCTGTCTCCTCAATTTATCTTTAAAAGCTGTGCACCATTTCACTGTTGCTGTTGTGGATTTCTATACATTGTGTGTTCTCCCTTTTGAATTTTCTTTTTCTATCGAGTATGTAAACGTTGGTAAAGGAGTATACTCCCTCTGAAGGAAGGTTTGGCTCCAGGTAACATTAAATTCAAATACTATAGAGGTGAGCATAGCATAAATCAATCGACTTCTAAGTTTGATCCTGCAGTAAGATTTGGTAGGATCCCACATGAGATGCCAGTGGAGTTGGTAGCACGTCTGAGAATAAGCTCTTTCCATTGAGACCCCCGAATGGACCTCATAGTGCCACTGCTATAGGAGCACTAGAAACAAGAAATGAGAGATGGGAGGCAGGAGACCCCAGAATTTTCGCTTCCAGCTCTGCCATTGACTGCCTGTGGGTGATCTGGAAGAAGAATCTACTTAAATTCTCTGTGCATAAAACAACTTTCATCTGTTAAATGGGAATATACCAACCACTGAAAATTGATCCAAGATCTAATTCATGAGGAATTGGTGAAGTAAAATACCCGCCGGCCCGTAAGTAAAAGATGAATTTCCTGGTGTTCCTGTCATGCTCTCCTCAGCTATTATGTACTGAAACAAGCTGATATGTTAGTGATCTTGCTGTACCAATCTTGATTCCCTATTTAGTATTTCTTATTTTGCTCCTCTTCTTTTTGCTGTGGTGCCTGTGATGATCCTGCAGTTCTGGGCCCCTTGTCAGACTTGATAAATAGCTTTGCTCTCTTTTACAGCCAACACCAGCAGAAAACCTATTGATTTTTATTTATTCTGATGGTGCTGCAGTAGTCTTGTCATCTCCTATCAGTGTGCCGGGAATCCTATCCTCCATTAACCAACCATTAAAACAAAACAGAACACAAAAATTAAAGAAAAGAGCACAGCATAATGTAGCATTGTCCTAAATAACCTGCAAAGTGGAGTTTGTGTTGAGGCATTTTCTTTCAAATGAAGGGAGACACAAAGCAGAACTTGTGATAACATGGCAGAACAGTGCAGGAAAATCCTTTAGTGTCACTCTCAGGCATGTAGATCTTCCAGGTCCCACTAGGACATAAGATCTGACAGTCCAACCGTTGAGGTTCCCTTGATTTGCTCTTACTCTTCTTGTGCATGTTGATCAGAGGCATTTTGGAAGGGTCTCTGGAAATTGGTATTGTTACTCAGCAAAGCGAGTGTGCTCACCTGAGACAAAGCAAATCACCACTGTAGAAGCTGATCTGTGAAATGTGCATATCCTTGAGCCACAAGTCAGTGTCTGGTTGAGTTGCTCACGTTGGTCAGTTGTGCCCATTAACAGCTTGGCCCCACTGTGAGGTGATGGAAACAAATCCTCTCTCAGACATCTTCCTGACACTCCACTCTTTTCCTGGTTTTATTCAGGGACTTGAAATCTGGTGCAGAAGCAATTCTTATTTTAGGGATGTCTCGTTTTTCCTTTTGCTTCCTTTATATTTCATCCTGTTTGTGGGACAAGAGGCCCAACATGACTTCTGCATACTCTATGTGAACAGTAAACTCCCCAGTGTGTCTGTCTACAGTGAATATGATCCAGCCTTCTACTTCACTTTGGGTGCTAATAATAAGGGGAGTAATAATAGTGAATACTGAGGACCACATCTAACTAGAGGAACGTGACTCATGCCTTTGAACAGAGCAAACATCCCCATGCACTGTGTGTATGCAGAATCAGAAACTAATTGTTGTTATGTGCCAAATAGCATATTGGCAGGATTTATACAGCAAAGCCCCTGGCATCATGAAAACCCTAACCCCAAATGCTCTTCTTTGGCAGAAAGAAAGAAATTTGGACTCTGGGCTACTCTTGCTATTAGATAACTGGCAGATCAAATATTTACAGGGACCATATTGTTTAGATTTTTCTTCATCCTGTTACTCTCAGCCAATCTGAACACAGAGCAGCTGGGGTTTGTTTACCCACCAAGAACTGAATCTCAGGCAGGTTATGTTATGCAGCTTTTATGTTCTGACTGACAAATGAGAATGTATAGAAATTAGTGGTACCCAAGGCAGTGCAGATCAACATTTCTGTTTCTGTGCCAGTTTTCAAAGTTTGTATGGTTCACCTCCCCCAACACTACTTTATTTTTTTCTTGACAATGAACAAAGAGTTTAAAGTGTTAAGGGACTTGAGAATGTTTTAGTCTGTGGTCTTTGTAGTTAGCAGTCTTGGACTAATTTATGTCCCCCAGGGGAATAAAACCCCAAACCCAAACCCAGGATTCCTGAGCAGATATCCCCTGTAGCTTTCATATGCAAATAATTGTCTCATTGATATGACTCTGTCCTATCATGCTAACAATAAATCAAATCCATGTGACCCCCTCACCGTTTTCCTGGTTAGATTTGCTAATAAAAATATCTTATGGATGGAAATGAATTACAATGGTATTTTGAACGGGTGGTGGAATGTGGAAAGTGCAGAGGTGCTGTAAAATGCCCTGGCCAAGCATACGTGCCCCAGCCATCTCTGCCAGCTGTTGGAAAGCAATAGCAACCAGCTGGGTGGTTGCAGGTCTGGTGATGTGATGGAGAATAAAAGAGAAAATAAGGCAATAAAAGGAAACTCTGAAATGATCACCATCTGTTTAGGAAACATCATACCTGTTAAAATATGGATTTTCATTTTGTTCTCCTTGACTGGTTCAGTTCATTGGAGGGGCTGGACCCAGAAATTATAAAGCGTTTCACTCTGGTTCAATCTGTTGAACAGAACTGTGTTAATTTTGTTGAAGCATTTGAGAAGAAGCTCACTGCAGGGGACCTTCTTTAGAAAACCAAAGGGGAAGAAAACTGCCACACAACGTGGTGTGCACCTCCCAAACACATACCAGCTGCTTTTACCGAATACTAATCCGGCTTCAGAATTGTCTTGTGAGACTGTGGCAAAGCCCAAAGCTTTGAACTGAAATAATGACAACCTACTCTGTCCCATATAGGTATGGGACCTCGAGAGCAGCTAGACACATTCTTGACTCAGAATTCTGCCTTTGGAAAACATGTTGGATGCTCCCACATTGGCCTTTTGACTGCGTATAGTCTTGCCCATGTGTTAGGATGGCAGAGTGCCTCCGCACAAAGTGTTATGCCAGTTTCACAGAGGTAGAAGTGCCAAGCAAAATGGACTTGGCTGGGCAGGCTGCAGAGCTCTCGGAGTGTGCTGAGAGGCTGCAGTAAGTCTTTTTTGGTAACAAGAATGTCAGAGGAGTAGGACAAGTCTGTTCTCGTGTTTGTTGACATCCGTATGCTGAAGGAGGTTGTTCAGGAAGGAAAGGCAGGTTTCTGTACATACGTCTGCTGATGCTTGGCATAATCGTTGAGGAAAGACTGTGATATTGAACTGTAGGCTGTAAGGATCTCTTGGCAGGCTGTATGGAGAAGGGGCTGCAGCAGGTAATGCCTTTAGGGTCAGGGCTGGATTGCTGCTACACCCTTCCTCTGCCTGCCTAGTAGGTGTAATCAAGGCAAGTGTCTGATGCCTTTCATATGTAAAAAGTTAAAGAGAAACAGAGAGACACTTTAATGAGGTCTTGATGGTTGCCTATGTCACGATTTCCATGAAGAGCTAAAGAGGAGACTGTTGCCCTGTTAGCTACAGCCAGGCTGTGGGTAAGTCTACCTGACTGTCATGTGTCAGTGACTGGAAAGAACCATTAGCTGAATAAATTCACATTAAATGGCATCACCGCTCCACAACACCCTTTCCTCAGGTAGCAATAGCATTTTGCCCTCAGCAACTTGTAGCAGTAGACGTCGTGGTTTTCTAACGTACATGTTAAATGCGCCAAACTGAGGGACACCAGGATGGAAATGCTGGGCCTCTGACGCTCGTATCTTTATAGAACTTCATGACCATGGAAGATATTATTCCTTCTGCCCTGGAGCAAATGTAGCCTAAATGTAATGTCCTGTAAATACGGATCGTGGTGAACCATCAGTTGGAACAAGGAAGGATTGGAAGGAGAGGGGGATGTCTTTGCTCGATAGAGCTCTCTGTGTGTAGCCACGGTGGGCGAGAGCCGAAGGCCAGGTAAGTGGCAGAGCCTCTGGCGTTTAGACCCAGAGCTGGAGAAAAGCATCCTTGTAATGTGTAGGTTTATTTTTAGCAAACAGTCCCAACATTTCATCTTACCTGTGAAAAAGTGTCTGACCACACCTGCAGAGGATCTTGCGAGCTCCATCCCATCTACTGGATAAAACTAATTTCAAATAATTGATGTTTTTTTAAACATTGTAATGTTTTTCATGATACAATGTGTTCCTTTCTAGATGACACCGCTAATAAACCAGGCCTGTGATGTCCTGCTGTGTAACTTGAAAGTCTATGCAGATTCTGGCAAAGCTTTTGATATCCAGAGGTATGTTCAACATGCCAGAAATTAGTAGCAGATTTAAAAAAAAAAAAAAAAAGTCAATAGCAGAAGTTATTCTAAGTATGTGCTTAGTGTATAAAATTTTTTTTTTTCCTCCCTCACTTTTATAAGTGGAGATCATAGTTTAGTAGAGGATGTGTCTGATAGATGCCTTTTCTTCCTGGGGGCAGCCATTGCATACTTGAAAAGTAATTTTGGAAAAGCATCTAATGTATTTCTAGCTGTTGTTTCATGAAGTTTTAACAGCTGGAAGCGGAAAGGAAAGCTGCATCAGTCCCTGTCCAGTCTGCTCTCTACAGTCTGCCAATAATGTACAAATATAGGAATTGATCTAGTATCAAATCCCTCTAGGCCATCACTCCCTTGCTTTTTTTATATGAGGTTTTTTTGAGCACTTAATCATTCTTACCACATTCCTTCTAAGCCCTTCTAATGGCACGTTAGCCTTTTGTGAAACGATGGGATCGGTACTCCAGATGAGAATGCACCACTGATTTATAAAATGACACTTTAATATTTTCCATACTGTGCTTTCTCCCATTTGTTATGCATTTAATATCCTATTATCTTTTTTGTTACTCTTTCATCAGAGGTCTTCACTGAACTGTTCACAGCACTGTCTAGCCCCTTCTCTGAGCAGATGCATTTCTTCTAGGACTCTGTATGGCATATGAGTAGTTCAAATGCATTCTTTTTAATATGCACTATTTTGCATACACTTCAGTTACTGGGTTGGTCAGCACCCTCTGAAGTTCTTTGTGATTTCTCCCAAACTGGAGCAGTGCAAATAATTTTGTTTCATCTAAATAAATTGATATTTAACCACAATTCATCCACCTCGTTTCAAGTACATGTGTATCTACACAGGCAAGTGTATGTCTGTGCACAGAGATCTCTTTATTAAACATCTGAAGAGATGCTATGAAACCTTGAGATACATTACACTTAGCCTAGTGCTCTGATGAAAATTGACCTTTTGAGTCCTTCCAGGCTTTTCCCTTTTTTCCATTTGTCTTTTTTCTTTGCCTGGTCTTTTAGCTATTGATCCATGATAGGGTTTCACCTCTCAAGAGGCACTTTGGAAAGGACCTTTTGAAAGTATAAATGAATGATGTTGACCATTTCAGAATATGATCTTCCAGTTGTTTTATCATACCACCATTTCAGCAGGTTTGACATATATAAAAGTGATTCCCACTGCACTGCAGTTTCCCAGAATTGCCTTGGGAGTTATTTTTTTGGATGTAAATACCCTATCTGCAGCCTCCTGTCATCTTGTACGTTAGTTATCTTTAGCCATTTTGTGTTTCGCCAACAACTTGAAATTTAGTTTTTAAGCTTTTTCAGTACCTTGGAGAGGTAGATGATCAAGTGCTTCTGCAATTATTGTTTTATTGCAGTGCCCCCTCTTTTAACATATCAACTTCTAATAATGCTTTTCGTTTGTGTGTATGTGTGTGTGTGTGTGAGTTGAAAACCCAAAGAAGTTACTTAGCTTTGCAGTATTGTTGTCTTCCAAATCTGCTCTGGTGTCATCAGAATGACAGTGCACAAAGATCATAGTTTAGAAATGCTGCTTCACAATATATATACAGGATATACTGGGCCTGAGTCCTGTCCTTCTCTTAATACATGCTCACTCAGGTTAAAACACCAGAGAATTTGATACTAGCCTTTTGTAAGAGAACATAGAACAGTCATTGCAGACTTGACCACAAATCACAAGAATCAAATTTCAAGGATATTTTACATTCTCAGTCCATTTATTTCAAAACTAAATATAGCTGCTAATGCCAGTAGAAATAAAGATGGTGAGAGAACTGGATAGATGGTCAGATATGTGGGGAGAGATTCAATAAGTTCTGAAGTTTCTAGATCATGGCCCACAGATCAGTTGTGGTTCTCAAAGCATTTGCTGCTCCTCTGCAGAGTTACAGATTTCACATGGTGTGGGTTCCTCTTACTTTTGACCATGATTTTACATTACAAAGGAGCTGTCAAGAAGACCAAGGAAATCCTTAACAGGTGATTTTACTTAAACACCTCTTGTCACTGAGAGTTTAGACTGAACTGGTAGTAGATACGGTTTCTGCAGTTTGAATGAGAAAGGAATGATCTCTTTTATTAGGATGCACAGTAAGAAAATGCTTATGAATCTCTGACCTGTTGCATTTGACTTCTAGCTAATAACAAGCAAAATTTTTTATTTTTTATAAATCTTTGGTGGAATTATTGAGCTATATGAAAATATATTCATGTCGTAGACAAGAGAAGGTGATCATTATTAGGCACCAACATTTGTCAGAATGATGGGAACATCTCCTGTTGGCAAAGCTCAAATCTTAAAGCAAAAAGAAAATCAGGGGCAAAACTTAATGTTATGTGATGTTTGTAGAAGCAAGGTATTAATGGATATGTAATTTTTTGCTAACAATTTATCATTCTTCAACTCAATGCAGGTGTTACAACTGCTTTACCTTGGATGTCGTTGGCAGTGTAGCTTTTGGTACTGAAGTGGATTCTCAGAAGAATCCCGATGACCCCTTTGTTAAGAATTGCAGAACATTCTTTGAAATGTCTTTGTTTAAGCCTCTCCTCATTCTGATCCGTGAGTATAGTCCACCCTTGTCCACTTCTTTATGGTAATTTTCTAAAAGTCATTATCAAATTGCAAAACATGTTGAAGCAGGAGCAGGAAGATGCATAACAGACTTCATTTCATTGGTGTTCAGAATGCAACCTACAGGCCAAGTATACCCTCAAGATTGCCACCATATGCTGTGCAGCTCCTGTCACCATTAATGCAAGTTCTTTTAGAAACTGGCAGTCTGTGGAGGCGATGCTCCAGATTGAGCTGAGTGGATTTTTTAATACACTTCTGCATTAAAACAGAGTAACTGCCCTTTGGAGCCTGAGAGTAAAGTTTTTGTGCACTTGGTTTGCCTGGTAGAGATTTAGTGGCTAATAACCCACTAAAGAAAAGAGGTGGAAGGGAGCATAAACAGGTAGTGTAAGTCCTCCAAATTCTTATTGGAATAGCAGCACCAGACTAGTTGATGGCTATAGAGGGTAAAGACGATAAGTGCCAGCACAGGCTGCTATTAAGAGAATGCATTTGTTTTCAGGTGAATAGATAGGGAATGCAAGAATGGGGTATAAAGCCATTTAGTTCTAGGGCATGAAAGCTAAGGCTTCGTGGTGGTGGTGGCCTTGTCAGTGCAAGGCCATTAAGAATCGTAGCTGAGGAAGCCACAGCATAATCGAGGTCGTTGAGGTTTTAGCATCTTGTTATCTAGACCTGCACAGAGTAGTGTCACATGAACACAGTGTCAGAGTTTCCTGTGCCCATCTGCTCCTGCTGGCATTACAGATTGCACCTGTACTAGCAGCACCTGAACTGTTCCCTTCTGGAGTTGTGTATCCAGAATGTCCTGGGGTTAATGGTTAACGTCTGATTGCGAAGTGTGATTTGTGACTAATTTCTGAAGGGACAGAAATGTGCCCCTGTATATCTAAGACCATGCCCTTCATTAAAGAAAGTTTCTGTGGGTTTTGGGACTGGATTCTTTGGCTAATCTCTTTCTGCTGGTAGATTATGCTGAATCTCCACATTGTGTTGCCCTGTTGGCGGCACAGGGGTTTTCTGATGACTGATTTGTTAGTCTTAAGCTGCTCATAAGTTAATGATGGATTTATTAAGATGCAAGACTTCACTCAGGTTTCTAATTCCTGACCATAAAGGCCGTGGCCTGGAGACCATCCTTGTGATAACATCCCACTTCCAGAGTCTGTAGCATCTGCAATAAATTTGCAAACCAATATCCTAATATTGGAGAACTATAAATGAGAATGACTGCTACACAGTTTCATGGATCAGCACCGTGAGCTGCTAGGCTAGTTCAAGATCCCCCACCTTCTGTGTGTAATTGAGTAGGCAGGGTAACTGATTCTCCCCTTTGTTGTGGTGGCTCTATGGCATCAAGAAGCTGAACCCAAATCCTGAGGCATTGTGGAAACAAGCTTGGAAGGCATCTGTCTGGCAGGGCAGCCGTGGCCAACATACAGTTTCTGGAAGGAAATCCTTTACCAGCCTATGGGGGTGGAAGGAAAAGAGGGAGAGGGATAGAGAAAGAGGAAAACACAGGTTTCATGAAAGTAAATGCATCCCATGATGAGTTTTATAACATGTCTGATTCAGTGTTTTCTTCTTTAAAATCTTTTACAGTTTCTTTCCCATTCATAATGATCCCATTGCTCCGGATTTTGCCAAACAAGAAACAAAGGAACTGAATGGATTTTTTATCCAAACCATAAAAAATGCAATTGTCTTCAGAGACCAGCAAGATGCAGCTGAGGTAAGGCTATTTCTGTGATAAATATATGGATAAGCAAATGTTTTGAGGAAAAACTGGAAGTGGCATAAGCCTCAGCTGAAAGAGCAAACTCAGTCTGTTTGAACATTCAAAGCAATTTAGTGAAGATTTTATTCATTTTTAGCATTATGTACCATCAACCAGGCTTGGTGTTGATGCAGTATTGTTAACACAAGAAAGATTGCTTCTCTCAATATTTCTGTTCAAATAAGGATGCAGAAATGTCATATCTGGGATGACTTTTCAACCCAGTTTCTAGACCCAGAAGGAAGGATTCACCCTGTAGAATTTTTCCTCATCCTAAAGTCAGGTATTTTGTCTATGCTACTTTTCCTTAACAACCAGAGAAAAGGGAGCCCCCACTGAGTGTTTCAACCCAGTCATTACCTAGGAGCTGAGGCAGGTTTTATATAGTCCTGTGACAGTTCCTACTGCTTTTGAAAATGGAAAGAACCTGAATGTCTGGTTAAGAGCAGACACTTGATATTGAGATGTCTGAAGAGAAAGGTGGTAAATTCCACCTGAAGTATGCACACTAATGGCTATGCATTATTACCAAATCATTTGTTACTCCTGTATTTCTCTTTTGTCTCTTCATAAAGCAGTTCTGGGCTTTTTGGTTTTGTTTTAATCACTGTTGTTTTATGAAGTATCTGAAGACACATGCATTTTTATGAAAATCTCTATTTTTTTTATATATAAAGCATTTGGAACAGAGGCGTGTGCTTCAGTTCTGTGATACGAAAGTTCTTTGGGTCTACTTGTCCATTTGGACCATTCTTTAATACAGACTGCACATATTATTCCTAAAAATAAGTTAGCTAGTTATGGATGTGTAGTGAGAAACAAAGAATACCAATGAGAATTTCATCTTAAAGGTAACTGAGACAAGTTTTGCATATCAATTGACATAAAACACACTGCAACATACACATTAAGGGGCTGTCAATATTGAAATTTAAGAGATGTTTCTTACCAATTTGAGATGAAGAGCAATTCTGATGGGGTAAGAGCACAGGTGAGAATGGATCCTCCCAGCTTTTTCTCACAGCTTAGCCCCACAGCCGTCACCTTTCAGGAAAAAATGTACTTTAGTTTACTCTGCACTACATCTAAGACACATTTAAAAATCAAATTGATTTTCAAAGATACTTAACGCTCTTTGCTGTGTTGTGTGTTCTGCTCTTTTTCTTTGACTTTTTCTGCATTGGAGTCTCACTTCTGTATTTGTTGTGTTTTGTCATGACATGCTTCTTGTTCTTTCCTCCAGCCCACCTTTATGAGTCTTTGCCCCCATTGGCCTTTAGGTCTTTGTCTCCATCCTTCTTTACAACCAAAAGCTTGCAAGCACTACTGACCGGCCGCAAGTAATTCATGATTCTTGGTTAAGTAAACCATGGTTCTTGGCCCAGGCTGAGTGCTGGAGGAATATTTTCTAACAGAGGCGGTGTATCTAAGCTGCTTGCCGACGCCTCATTTGTAGTGCACAGATCCAGCGTGGACTTCTGATGGCATACTGGTGTGACTCTATGTATGGAGAGTTTTGAATCAAAGATTTGTGCAAAGGGATCTGCATGAAATGTCTGTTCTGTGTATCAATTATAAAAGGATGAAAGGGACAATGAAACAATATAATGTGGTTTAAAAGTAGTTAATGTATAATACTGTTAATAAAATGCAATGTATTTATGCAGTAGTGGCACTGAGAGCATTGATCACGGGCTAAATCCTTCACTGTACTAGAGATGGTCACTCCCTCAAACTGCAGACTAAGATAAAAGACAGCATGTGGGTATGCTTGGGAGAAAACACAAAGAAAAGCAAGGCTGTAGTGACAAGCTCAGGAGGCAGCACTCTCGGCGTGTGCAGCCTGTTTGCAGGTTTCAGTGGTTGATGGAGCAGAGGGTTAAGGTTACGTTGGAAGGGACGTTGGGAGGTGCTGCAAGAGGTAACCCAGTGGCTGCCCAGTATCCGGGCAGCGTGGAGGAAAGTGCAAGGTCCATGTTTGCCTTAACAGCGCGCGCCCAAGTCCATGACCAGCTGTGGTCCGCCTGCTCCTGGGCTTTGGCCTAGTTTGCAAAAATTGGCATATGGGAACTATTTCAAACACTGGGAGTTAGACACTTAGGACCAGATTTCCGAGAGCGCATTGTGTCCCCTTTGCAGTTCAGGATCATTAGCACAGCTTTCAAAAGCAACTGGAAAGTTTGGAGCTCCCTTTCCCCCCCTTTTTGCTGCCTGTCTGTTACGCGCTCTTAGAATTTTGACTATTTGAGGTTGGTGGCACACGAGTCTTGTTACAAGTATAGGCAACTTAATAATTTGCCAGGAACATAAAAATGGTATGTGAAAGATCAAAATGCAGCTGTGTCCAATTTAATGTAGAAACGCAATCTGAACAAATTAGGTGTCCCAGATCGCCCTGCATTTGAAGGACAATTATGTCCTGTTTCTTAGGTCTTGCATGATGAAATGCACCCACTGAAGTCAGTCAGAATTTTGGCACTGAATTTTAATGAGGCCAAGATATAACCAGTAGCTGCCGGTTCTTTGTGCTAATAATGGGAGCTATAAGCAAAGTCCCTGTGCTGCATTAGGCCAGTGGGTATTCCTTAGGTTGCCACATTCCTAGGTGTTCCATTGTGTGCATCTTTTACTCCTCATTGATTTTATCACCGTTAAAAATGCTTTCAGGTTCTTTTCTTGGGGGTGGGGGGAAGGAAAAAAGAAAAACAAAGCATTTGGAACAAACTGTAAAACAATGAAAAGCTCCACGAAAGTAATTCAGCTGAAGCTTGTCTTCCTCTCATCTGCAGCTAATGTGAACAAAGAATAAAGAAAAAGGCCAAAAAACAATGCGACAAGCAAAGTCAGCCTGTTATCATCCCTGTTATATCAGTAAATTAAACAGTGCTTCTGAATGCCTAAAGATAATCCCATGGGCAGATAGTAATTTTACAGCCAGGTTTAGATCTAATAATACGCTTGCATCTTATATGAGATCTGTGATGTCACTTTCTCTCATCCCATTGGTTAGTGCTGCCGATGTAATTTTAATTATATATTATCTTTCTGTGGTCAGTCAAATAATTTCAGTCCTGGATATTCCACTCATTTGGCTCATGTACAAAAACATTTACTGGTCGTACTGTAGAAATGTTAATATACTACATTAATTCATGGATTCAAATTATTGTAAAATGCTTTTCCCACTATTTACAGAAGGGCAAATTCACCCCGCTCAGAAGAAACAGCACAAATTTAACGCACCACTTAACACCTACTTTGAAGACTCCAGCAGGATTTAAGTGTTCAAATACCTTATCCTGATTATCTGCCCAGGTTTAAATTTTTCCCTGAGGCAAAATGTTTCCAGAAACAGGGCAGATAGACTCTTTGTTTACTTCAATAAATGATAGTTTGATAGATTTTCATTTAATAATCTGATATGCAAATCATTGTTCATGTAAGAGTTGTTTTTCTATCATGTTATAGCTCAGTTCTTAACCTACCAGTCTGTTTTAAATTTTGTTATCTAGATGAAGGAGTCTTTCACGGTGCTCAAAACCGGGGCTCCTTTTAAAACTGTGGGTTGAAACTAAGCCCCCTCGGCGGATCAAAGGCCAGGATTTCATTTGTAATCCATGGTAATAACAACAATTGGAACGTAACAATTTAAGGATATCGCAAAACATTATTTCTGGAACATCACAACAGATCTGTGGGGAAATCCAGTTTTCAAGAGCGGCGCCCTTGCGCAGGGCGGGTTGGAGAGCTCACCGAGGCCGCGGCACGTTCTTCTGGCGTCCCCTGGCTCTTCCAGTCGTGCCGTGATTGCGCAGCTCGGGGTCACCGGCCCGCGCCGGGCAGGTGGCGACCTAACGAGGACCGGGGGTCTCCTGGGGGTCTCAAGCCGGTTCGAAAGGAGAGGGGGACAAGGCGGAGGGACGTGTCCCCAGGGCCGTATTCGCTGGCGGCTGGGCCGGCGGCTCAGTCCGTGGGGCTGGGGGCTGCCTGGGGGCGGGCGGTGGAAGCGCAGGGCAGGCAGAAGGGGCAGCGGTGCCGCCGTGGGCCGTCGAGCCACGAAGCAGCCGCACGGTGCTGCCGGGTCGGGTCCCGGTCTGGCCCCCCGGCAGCGGGCCCGGCCCTGGAACGTTCTGTGCTCTACTCCGCTACCTCTGGGTCGACAGACGTCGTCCTCCGGGCGGGCGGCAGCTGCCCGCGCAGGGTTCGCCCCCGCGTCCCACCCTCGCTGCCGGCCGAGCCTTCCCCTGGTCGCGGGCGGGCAGGGCCGGTGGCTCCGGTGCTGCCGGGCCGCCCGGGCAGGCCCCAGCCACCCCTGGCGAGCGGAGAGCCTTCCGTCTTGCCGTGGCAGCCTAAAAAAGGTCAGGAAACTGCATGTTGAGGCAGTTTGAAGCCAAGGTATTTAAATGCATGCAAAGGGGAAAGAAACGCCCTTTCACTGAGGACTAGCAATAGGAATGTTCTATAAGGAAGTGGTATCTTTTAATGTCTTTCTGGGAAATGATGGCCTGATTACGACTTTAATCTCTGGAACACTGATTCCCAGGGAAAAACGTACAGTGAGCTCCCCTAAATGCTTCACCTCAGGGGAAGAGGGACGTGTGTGTGTGTACCTGCATTCTGGAGGATAAGGGACAATCTGAAAACCTAATTACTGTGGGACTCCGTTCTTTTCTCTTCCTTTCCCAGCAGTTCCCTGGAGTTCTTCCTTTTCGTGAACTAATGAACTATTTTATTCAAGAGCTGCTTGAAATGAGTTGAGCAGAGGTAATCCTCCTGAAAAAGTCTGATCCTCTCCTTGTCAAGGGAAAACTATACAATTACTAAGAAAACTTAGTTAAAAATTTGCTAGATACTATGTACATTCCAGGAGCGATGTGTGTGTTTGAACTGTGGAAATGCAGTACAGATGTTAAAAAGTAAATATTTTTCTAAGGAAACAGCAGATGGGAGGATTA